TATAGCTCCTGGTCTTTTTTGTTCTCCTGACATCAAAACTTTATTATATTAAAAAATTAGTTTTTAGTTCAAGTAGAGTTAACATACTACTAGTTTCAGGTGTATAACATAATGATTTAATATTTATATACATTAGGAAGTGTTCACCACGATGTCGTTACCATTTTGTCACTGTACAAAGTCATTACAACACTATTGACTATATTCCCTATGCTGTATTTTATATCCCTGTGATGTAAGATTTGTAGCTCTTAGGCCTGTTCACCTATTCCATCCATCCCCACCGCTTCCCTCTGGCAACCACCAGTTTATTCTCTGTATTTATGAGTATTTATTTTATTTTTTTAGATTCCATATATAAGTGCAGTCATACAGTATTTGTCTTTATCTAACTTAGCATAGTGCCTCTAGGTCCATCTATGTTGTCACAATGGCAAGATTTCATTCTTTTTATGGCTGAGTAACATCCCAATATCTTATTTATCCATTCATCTATTGATGGGCACTTAGACTGCTTCCGTATCTTAGCTATTGTAAATAATACACCAATAAACATAGGGGTGCATCTTTCCTAATTGTGTTTTCATTTTCTTCAGATAAATACCCAAGTATCAACTATATTTGAATTTTAAAAAATGTATACAGTTGACCCTTGAATAATAAGGGTCTGAACCAAGCAGGTCCACTCATGTGTAGATTTTTTTCAATATATGTACTGGAAAAATGAAAAAAACTACCCAGAAGAAGAGTTGCTGCATCGTATGGTTATTTTCCCATTTTTAGTTTTTGGAGGAAACTCCATACTGTTTCCTATAGTGGTAGCACCAATTTGCATTCCCGCCAACAGTGCATTAGAGTTGCCTTTTCCCCCATCCTTCCAAAACTCATTTCTTGTTTTTTTTTNGCGCGACCCATCCCCCACCAGCACAAAGGCATAGGGGTATGCCAGAACCCCTCCCATAGGCCGCAAGTTTGCATACCAGGAGTGCCTCTGGCCCAACCCCACCCCAACCAACAGACCCATAGGGGGTCCACCAGGAGCCCCTCCGCTAATCCCTCAAGGCTGCAGCCCTGAAGTGCCACTGAGCCAACCCCTCCCCCACCAGCACAGACCCATAGGGGTCCGCCAGGACCCCCTCCCATAGTCCCTCAAGGCTTCAGCCCTGGAGTGCGGCTCGCCTGACCCCTCCACCACCAGCTCACATTATAGGGTCCTCCAGGCCCCCTCCCATCGGTCCCCAAGGCTGCACCTTTGGAGTGCTGCTGTCCCGGAGCCTCCCCCACAGCACACACACATAGGGGTATGCCAGAACGCCTCCGAAAGGCCCTAAGGCGGCACCCCTCGAGTGCCGCTGTTGAGACCTCTCCCCCACCCGTACAGACCCAGAATGACCCTTCAGGAGCCCTCCAATAGGCCCCAAGGCTGCAGCTCTGGAGTGCCGCTGGGCCGACCCCTTCCCCACCAGCACAGACCACAGAGTCCACCAGGACCCCCTCAGAAAGGCCCCCAAGGCGGCACCCCTGGAGCCGCTGGCCCCAAACACCTCACCGCCACACAGACCATAGGGTCCGCCAGGCCCCCATCCAATAGGCTCACAAGGCTGCACACCTGGAGTGCTGCTGGGTCGACCCGGCCCCCACCAGCACAGACACATAGGGGTCTGCCAGGATCCCCTCCGATAGGCCCCAAGGCTGTACCCCTGGAGTGCAGCTGTACTGATCCCTCCCCTGCCAGCACAGACCATAGGGTCTGCCAGGACCCCCTCCGATAGTCCCCCAAGGCTGCAGTCCTAGAGTGCCGCTGGGCCAACCCCTCCCCCACCAGCACAGTCCCACAGGGGTCTGCCAGACCCCGCCGAAAAGCCCGCAAGACTGCACCCCTGGAGTGCCGCCGTCTAGGCCCCTCCGCCACCAGCACAGACCAATAGCTGTCTGCCAGTACCCCACTGATAGGCCCCAAGGTTGCAGCCCTGGTGTGCTGCTGGGCCGAACCCTCTCCCACCAGCACATACCATAGGGTCCGCCAGGCCCCCATCGGTTAGGCCCCCAAGGCTGCAGCCCTGGAGTGCCGCTGGCTCGACACCTTCCCTGCCAGCACAGACCCATAGGGTCTGCCAGGACCCCCTTGGAGAGGCCCCAAAGGCTGCAGCCCTGGAGTGCCGCTGTCCCGACCACTCCCCCCTCCAGCACAGATCACAGGGTTCTTCAGGCTCCCTCCCATCGGCCCCCAAGGCTGCACCCTTGGAGTGCTGCAGTCCCGGAGCCTCCCACGCAGCACGCACTCATAGGGGTACGCCATGACCCCTCCGATAGGCCCCAAGGCGGCACCCCTCGAGTGCCGCTGTCCGGCACCTCCCCCAACAGCATAGTTCCTTCCAGGAACCCACCAATAGGTCCCAAGGCTGCAGCTCTGGAAAGCCGCTGGGCCGACCCCTCCCCGACCAGCACAGACCATAGAGTCTGCCAGGACCCCCTCCGATAGACCCCCAAGGCTGCATCCCTGGAGCTGCTGGCCCTGACCACCCCCCCACCAGCACAAACCATAGGGTCTGACAGGAGCCTGTCTGATAGGCTCCCAAGGCTTCACCGCTGGAGCGCCGCTGTCCCGACCCCTCCCCTGCCAGCACAGATCATAAGGTCCGTCATGATCCCCTCCGATAGGCCCCCAAGGCTGCAGACCTGGAGTGCCGCTGGGCCAACCCCTCCCCTGCCAGCACAGACCGTAGGGTCCGCCAGGGCCCCGTCCAATAGGCTCCCAAGGCTGCACCCCTGGAGCCATAAGTTTTTACTGGTAGAAACCTGGCATGACATGTTTCAAATCAGGTATTTCATTGTATTCTATGACAAAAACTTGAGGGCACTGTAAGGCAGTGAGGGCGAAGCAGTGAAAATATTTGAGTTCAGATTATACTTTCTGAGGCTATGTGGTTTAGACAGAAGAACCTGCAACCTAAAAGTTCATGTTCTTACGGTGTCCCTGCTTCTTACTAGGTATGTGATAACTGGAAAAAATCACTGAACCTTTCTGAATTTTAACTTCATTTGTAAAGTGAATCGGATAATTTCTCTGCCTACCTTTACAAGGTTGTTATGAGAATAAAATGAAATCATGTATATTGTACACGTAATGTATATAAAATGTGCAATCAGATATATGGTCCTGTTACATAGTTGGAAGTCACTTCCCTCAACTATGGATCCTGGGAATGAAGGTGAATTACATGTATCATGTTCAGGCTGGCTATGTGGTCACAACGCTATGCTAAATTTTATCCTCTGAGTACACGGAACATGATTGTGGGCTAATTTTAAGAAGGAATAAGATTAAGTTCCCTTAAATTGTTCATTAGCATTAGCAACATGTTTGTGTTATAGAGTGGTAATGGGCTGGAACATATTAGCATTTTGTATGATCTGTTTACTGAGTTCCAGAATTTTTTTTTAATGAAAGAATGCAGAACAGAAAATTTCTCAGTATGTCCCACATGATGGAGTGTTTCAGGTGTGTGTGTATTTGTATTTTTGTACTTGATCACTTTTAAAAATGTATTTTTTCCTAAAAAAATGTAAGTACTTAAGAGGTGACAGTAAGGAGACATACTGTATTCCATCAAATCTAAGATAAAATGATAAGGGGAAAACCTACTAATGAAATTACAAAACAATCCTTTCTCATCACCCAGAACTTTTACTGTATACTTATTAAAAAGCTCTTTTAAACTTAGATTTTTATTATAGGAGAATTCAAACTCATTTGGAAACAGATTTTTATCATATATTACTCTTGTGCAAGTATGAAAAAAAATAGAAGTGACAAAAGATATTCCTACAACTTCACTTTTAGAATCCAGCTCTTTTGAATAATTTTTCAAATCAGAGTCATAGGTGTTCATTTCTCCTACATCAAACTCTGAGAGGCAATAAAGTTTTTATCACTCCATTTTACAGATGAGGAACTGAAATACAGGGAAAAAACCCGAATTCACAAGGTTAAGGGGTTATTATAATTCATATGGCTACATAATAAATTCATATGCTAAATTATGAATTCATAAATTCATATATTGAAGCCCTAAACCCAGTACCTCAGAATGTGACCTTATTTGGATATAGGATCATTGTGGTTATAAGTTATACAAGCAGTTATAAGTAGTTATACAGTTATGAGATGAGATTATACTGGAATAGTGTGGGCTCCTGATCCCATATAACTGGTGTCATACAAAGGGAAAATTTCAATACAGACATGCACAAAACAGGATGCCATGTGAAGATGAAGGCAGAGATGGAATGATGCTTCTGCACTCCAAGGAATGCCAAAGATTGCCAGCAAACCATCACAGATGCTCAAATTCTCAGCCTTCAGAAGGAAGCAACCCTGCTGACACCTTCATCTCCGAATTCTAGCCTCCACAGCTGTGAGGATAAATTTCCATTGCTTAAGCCACCCAGCTTGTGGTACATGTTACCCAAGATCTTGCACACTAGTACAAGGGTGGAGTCAGGATCAATCCCTGGCAGGAAGGCTCCGAGATAGGCATACTTAGCACCTCGCTCTCTGCTTCTGACAGAATAGCACTAACCAAAATAAAAAGAATCCCCACCTCGCCTCCACTGGCCTTCCTGCAATGGGAGTTACCAGTTTTCAAATCTCGGCAGACAAGCCAAACATCCTGTGTCTGCATCGTATGCCCTGGAGCCCCTGCTTTCCTAACCGCTAAGTTAAGAGTCTGTTTGAGCTGACTCCCTGGCCAGACCTTTTTCAGACCTACAGGACTAAACTCACTCAGCCCATCTGCCTGGCAGTCTGTATCCCTACTAAAGTTTAAAAAGTCCGTGTTTAATAGATTTGGAAAGCAACACAATCTGAGGATAGTTGCAGATTTGTGCTGTTTCCTTTAGGTTAAAATGAAAGGATATGTCCTATGGGTGATAGTGGAACAGTGGCCCTCCAAGTAGTTGTACTGAGCCAGTACTGACAGAAAAAGGAAAAGGCTGTCAAGGTGGCATGGCGAGAGTGGACAGGACCTTGGAGAACCCTTCGTGCAACCTTGAATTAGAGCTGGGCCCTAAGCACAGGTCCTGAAGTCGGGAAGGCTTGGGAGCTGCTACCAGGTCCGTGCCGCGTTGAACGCAGCCAGGGTGCGCCTCCGGGTTCCCGCGGCGGAGTGTGGGAGGTCAGGGTCAGGTTCAGACGTGGTCCTGCATGTTGGGTTAATGGAGACTACCATGGTTCGGGGCGAGGAATGGCTCTGAGAGTTTTGAGCCTCTTTCATGCATCTCGACATGGGCGCGTCTCTCGGTCAGCACGATACCCTTCCGCACAACCGCCAGCTGCGGTGTTTTAAGATGTCATCCCCACAAAACCCGGGAGGTCAGGCCCTGGGTCGGAGCGCATGGGCTGGGCGTCCAGCCGCGATTTCCCTCGGGATTCCTCCAGGGCTGCAGCAGAAGGCGGAGAAGAGCCTGGGCGCGAACGCCGGGTGCCCGCCGGCTCGCTGCGCGCGCGGTCGCTTTAAGCGCCCCAGGTGCCGGGGGCCGGGAGCACGCGGCGTGGGCGGGGCCGGCGGCGCCCCCGGATCGCTCTCAGGAGAAAGGGAGGGAGGGAAGCAGAGGGAGGGAAGGGCGACCTACTTCCTGAATTGCCTGCAAAGCCCGGGGCGAGCTTGGCTAGCGCTGCGCAGAGATGTCCAGAGGATCAGCCTGGAGCCTGGCGAAGGGTGAGGCCTGCCCCCCTCAACAGGCTGGGGGGGTCTTGGCGACCCCGCGGCGCGGGAAACCGGCCGGGGCTGCCGTGAGCGGGACTTCCCCGCCGCCCGGGGGCGGCGGGGGGCTGGGGGTCCCAGCAGCTCTCTAGGCCGTAACCACCTGCCCTTCTCCCCGGCAGGAAGCGCGCCCCCGGGGCCGGTCCCCGAGGGCCTCATCCGTCTCTACGGCATGAGGTTCTGCCCATTCGCCAAGAGGACACTCCTGGTCCTGAAGGCCAAGGGGATCAGGTGAGGTCCGAGACGAGGGCGGTTCCCCGAGCCCCCGGGGAACCCGCTGCTGCGGGAGACAGGGGTGGGAATCTCGGATAAAGCTCCTCAACATCCTTCACTGCAAACTATTCTCAGCCTTGGCGTGGGACACCAATGAGGTGGGAGGGTGGGGTGGAGGGAATGTTACAGACTCCACCAGGCTAGGACACCCAACCTAGACTAACCTAACCTAACCAGTATATGGATTCGAAAAGCTGGGGCTCCAATAAAGTCAACGCCTGGTTATTCCATTCCCGGTCCTCTGCCCTTTCACTTTTACCCCACTTGTCTGCTCAAGTCCAGCTCATCTGATACTGTTTGCTGTTTCTGAGTACATAGTCCATTTCCGAATAGTCGATAATTGATGACAGCAGGGTCCAGACCTTGACCCTCTTGGCAGAGTGCTGAGTTAACTGCACTGTGCATACTCCTGTAAGTTGGGTTGTTGGTCGTGCCCAAGTGTATGTGCCCCAAAATTCACTCTTTTGTGAAGCCTCGTGGAAACTAGCATGATTATCTACCGGAAATATATAACAATCACTTGGCTTTTCCCTTCCCCCAAAGATACATTGGCACTGCCTCCTGTCCAAAGACTTTTGAAATCTGTTAAACAGACATTGGATGGATACCTGTGGTGTGGACGCTTGAAATACAGCCCCTGTTCTTTTTTTTCTCCTGATATCAAAACTTTATTATATTTTTAAAATTAGTTTTTGGTTCAAGTAGAGTTAACATACACTACTAGTTTCAGGTGTACAACATAATGATTTGATATTTATATACATTAGGAAATGTTCACCACGATGTCATTACCATTTTGTCACTATACAAAGTCATTACAACACTATTGACTATATTCCCTATGCTGTATTTTATATCCCTGTGATGTAAGATTTTTAGCTCTTAAGCCTGTTCACCTATTCCATCCATCCCCACCGCTTCCCTCTGGCAACCACCAGTTTATTCTCTGTATTTATGAGTGTTTATTTTATTTTTTTAGATTCCATATATAAGTGCAATCATATATTTGTCTTTTTCTGACTTAACATAGTTCCTCTAGGTCCATCTATGTTGTCACAATAGCAAGACTTCATTCTTTTTATGGCTGAGTAACATTCCAATATCTTATTTATCCATTCATCTATTGATGGGCACTTAGACTGCTTCCATATCTTAGGTATTGTAAATAATACAACAATAAACATAGAGGTGCATACATATATCTTTTCTAATTGTGTTTTCATTTTCTTTAGATAAATACCCAAGTATCAACTATATTTGAATTTTAAAAAATGTATACAGTTGACTCTTGAATAATAAGGGTTTGAACCATGCAGGTCCACTCATGTGTAGATATTTTTCAATATATGTACTGGAAAAATGAAAAAAAACTACCCGGAAGTAGAGTTGCTGCATTGTATGGTCATTTTTCTATTTTCAGTTTTTTGAGGAAACTCCGTACTGTTTCCTATAGTGGTAGCACCAATTGGCATTCCCGCCAACAGTGCATTAGAGTTCCCTTTTCCCCCATCCTTGCCAAAACTCATTTCTTGTTTTTTTTAGTATTAGCTATTCTGACAGGTGTGAGGTGATACCTCACTGTGGCTTTGATTTACATTTCCTTGATGACTAGTGATGTTGAGCATCTTTTCTCGTGTCTGTTTGCCATCTGTATGTCTTCTTTGGAAAAATGTGTATTCAGGTATTCCACCCATTTTTAAGTGGTATTGTTTATTTTTTTGGTGTTGAGTTGTATGAATTCTTTATATATTTTGGATATTAACCACTTACTGGATATATCATTTGCAAATATCTTTTCCCATTCAGTAGGTTGCCTTTTTGTCTTGTTGGTTTTTCTTTGCAGTACAAAGAATGTAGTCCCACTTGTTTAATTTTGCCTTTGTTGCCTTTGTGTGAGGAGACACATTCAAAAAGTATTGTAAGAAAATTAGAATTCTTTTATTGCAAGTAAGAAATTTAATTGAAGTTGGACTGAAAAGACTTCTTGGGCTCATGTATTTGAAAAGTCCAGGAGCAAGACATAGCTGGATTCAGGGGCACAAAGTCCTGTGTTCTGTGCCCCTCTGAACTCTAGGTTGAAAACAACCATAACGTATTTACTGGGACAGTTTTCCAAAGGAAAATCGAAATGATTTTACCATAATATAGTGTATGGGATATAAAGAATGCTAATAGCTGAGGTTGCAAACAACAGAGGTCTACCACATTCATGGATCAGTTTTGAGTCTGAGGAGACTTTCATCAGAGAGGTGCTAGATTTTTACCACATGCTATAACTGAACAAAGCATAGTTTTCTCTAAAAGGTGCATCTCCCAATTTATAGCAGATGTGTTGACTTCTTGGTTCATAATGCCAGGTCACCAAATTCATGTGTGTTCTGAGACCCTTCTTTATCACAAAAGACCAGGACCTACCTTTTTTTTTGTTTTTTTTTGTTTTTGAAGAACATTATGTTTACTAGGCTCCCCCCATTCACCAAGTCCCCCCAACAAACGTTCAGTGTAGTAAGATGCTAGAGAATCCCTACTCATCTTCTCTGTGTTGCACAGCCCTCCCGGTGCCCCCCACCCCCACATTACACATGCTAATCGTAATGCCCCCTTTCTTTTTCCCCACCCTTATCCCTCCCTTCCCACCCATCCTCCTCAGTCCCTTTCCCTTTGGTAACTGTTAGTCCACTCTTGGGTTCTGTGATTCTGCTGCTGTTTTGTTCCTTCAGTTTTTCTTTGTTCTTATACTCCACATAAGAGTGAAATCATTTGGTACTTGTCTCTCTCCACCTGGCTTATTTCACTGAGCATTATACCCTCTAGCTCCATCCATGCTGTTGCAAATGGTAGGATTTGTTTTCTTCTCGTGGCTGAATAATATTCCATTGTGTATATGTACCACATCTTCTTTATCCATTCATCTACTGATGGACACTTAGGTTGCTTCCATATCTTGGCTATTGTAAATAGTGCTGCAGTAAACATAGGGGTGCATCTGTCTTTTTCAAACTGGGCTGCTGCATTCTTAGGGTAAATTCCTAGAAGTGGAATTCCTGAGTCAATTGGTATTTCTATTTTGAGCATTTTGAGGAATCTCCATATTGCTTTCCACAATGATTGAACTAATTTACATTCCCACCAGCAGTGTAGGAGGGTTCACCTTTCTCCACAACCTCGCCAACATTTGTTGTTGTTTGTCTTTTGAATGGTAGCGATCCTTACTGGTGTGAGGTGATATCTCATTGTGGTTTTAATTTGCATTTCTCTGATGATTAGCAATGTGGAGCATATTTTCATGTGTCTTACCTTTTGTTTTTCATAGTATAGTATTTTCAGAAATGTTGACAATTCCTTGGCCTGGGGCCTCGTTTTTCCTGCAAAGTCTCCTATCTGGGTGTCCAGTATTCTGTCAGCACATAAACCTTTTAATACACACACACACACACACACACACACACACACACACACACGCTGGTGTTCAATCTGGCTACTCCTTTGTTTCCATGAGGGATTACATATTTAAATCCTCAAACTAATGCTGTTCTAGCTACTGAAGTGGATAGGGAAAGAGGAAGCAAAAGATGTTGGTGTATATTATTTCTAAGTAACTAATCTGTTCTATTGAACAATTATCCAGCTTTGACAATTATATGGACCTGGCTTTAAATGTATGAAACTTTCTCTTATTTCCCCTACAAGCTACCAGGCAAGATACAAGTCAGATCTAATTACATAATGAATGCAGCTTGGATGTCATCTGGTTTTTTTCCTTTTGGGTTTACTTAATGTGATTCACCTATGTAACATTTCAAAAAAATACTCAAGTGTGGAGATTTAATCCGAAAGTTTATTTGATAGATGAATTTTTGGATTCCTTAATATTCTTGTAAAATGAGGAGCTTTGTATTCAAACTAACAAAAGGAATTTTATCATGTTGATTCTTATGTAGTGGGTAGTGGACAAAATGCAAGTAGTTGCCTCATGTAATTAATAATTTATAAACCTCTTAGCCCAAAATGGAGTATTTTATGGATAATCTTGAAGTATTTCCACTTATTTATTCATTCATTCAACAAATATTTATTGAGTACCTATCTGAAACTATTTTTATTTTCCTAATGGCATTTAAACCTATTTAAAATTTTGTTCATTTATATGTTTATGAATATGAACAAAACACACCAAATGGAGTTTACATTCTAGGGAGATGACATAATGAGCATGTAAATAAGCAAAGTAACTTCAGATACATATCACCAGTTCAATGAAGTGAGTAAAACAAGATGATCATGTAATAGAGGTTCTCAGCAGCTCCGGAGCAGGTGGTTGGGGGAGGGGGTGGGCTCTCTGAGGATGTGGCATTTGACCTGGGAAGACAGGCAGAGAAGACAGAGGAACAAGCACAAACATGCCAAGGTGGGAACATGTTGGTAAGTTCAAGGAATATAAAAAAAAAGGCTAGGGTGGCCAGATCATAATGACTAGAGGTAGTCATAGGAAATAGGTGTGACGGGTAAGCAGGAGCCAGATCAAAGGCCATGGAAAGGTTTAAAGTTTATCCTTATTGCAATGAGGAGCAATCAAGGAGTTGTAGCAAGAGGGTGGCCTGATCCAATTTACTTTGTGTACGGAGAATGGACTGCAGGGAGGTCACAGTGGAAGAGAGGGACCAGTGGGGGACTAGAGTTCCAGGTGACAGGATGTTTTGCATGAGGTGGCAGGGTAAAGCTGAGAAGTGAAGAGTCAGAATGTGATTTGGAGGTCTAGTTGACAGGTCTGCTGAAACCCTTTGACTTGAGAATGAGTTGATTCCAGAATCTGGGGTCTGATCAGCTAAGGAAGCCAGCAAGGAAGGAAGAAGGAGTTGTGTGGCTTAGCAGAATGAGTGAAAGAACAGTAGAGGTGGCTGCTAAGATGATGGACAGGGAATATGGTATTTACAGGACAGCTGTTGGAGCATTAAAAAAATAGTAGCAAGAGATTCACTGTATTGTCTATATAGAAAATGGCTACATTACTTCTCTGCTCACAGTCAGGGAAAAGGTGGCTTTAGGTACCATATGACACTATCCTCCTGGCCAGCTCAGCAAACCAGAAATGCTCCCACCCACACCCCCAGTCTTATGATCTTCTCATCTGTGAACTTGTAACTGAGACACAGAGACTAAGACAGTAAGGATGTTGAAGTTTTGGAGCTGTGTATACACACACACACACACACACACACACACACACACACACATATGTATATGTGTGTGTGTGTATGTATATATATATATACCATTGGAGACTGACAAACTGAAGTCATGTTAGGAGTCTTGCAAAGGGAATTGATCAATGGAAAATAGTATGGAGCAGACATTTAAGAGGAAGAGATGAGAGACCAGGCAGGCCCAGATGGAAATGTGGACAGAAGGGCTGCCTGCAAACCTTCAGTTCCAATGAGAAGAGGCTGTGCTGACATTGATGGGACTTCAGGACATTCTCTGGTATTTTTACAAGTGCTTGTTTACTTAAACTGGGATGAGTGGACTTGTTTCTTGCAATGGGATGATGCCAAAGACTGAAGTATTAAAATAACGCAAACACGTCCACCAGAAGCATTAAAGCATCTGACTCTACATCTGTCAAGTCTTCAGGTAGTAAGTCCCTTTTGGACAGTCTTCTCATGTGCTCCTCAGGATAGAAATCAGAAAGATTCTCTTCCCCAACTCCCTTTGCAGCTGGAGTCAATGTCTGGGTCCTAGGCTCTCCCTGGCAGGTACACACCTGGTTGAGTTCAGGTCAGAAATGAGCCATGTGGGGCGCCAGACTTGGTGTGGGGCACTGGGTTCTGCTGGTATGCATGGCTGCTGGCAGAACTGGTTTTCGAGAGCAGTTGGACTGCAAGGTTAAATTCAGAGTAGAAATGGCTTCGAAGCTAGTGGCATCAGTTACCTCAGAGTCCAACCTCTGGCCACGCCACAAGCTGTAGCATCTAGTGCTTCACTCACTGGTGCCTATGGGTGCTTCCCCTCAGGTCAGTTCTGAGCATGATTCTGAAAATGTTCCAGTTTTGTTCCAAGCCTATTTTTTCAGTCACTCAACAATTCTATAAGCCACTTAGCATCTTCCTAAGACATTTTTGGCTCATACTCACCAAAGTGCATTCTATTATTTGCAACTTACAAAATCTTAACCAATATAGCATCCTAGACCACAAAACTGTCTCTGAAATCATTGCATGACCTCTGTGAACCCAGGAATTGGTACACTTTTGAAATTTCTAGAACACCTTAACACTGAGACTATAAGGGTCCTATTGTACTTTTATGTTGGGGGGCTAGTATAGTTAGCTTCACATTGATAAACTAAGAAGTTATTTTCTGTCTAGATACCATCTTTGGTAACAAGCTTTGTTGGAAGGAGAAATGAAAAAGACTGCTCTGGCCTGAAAGAAGAGTTCAACAAGCTAGAGGAGGTAAACAATCACTTCTGCTTTTTACCACAGTGAAGGATACACTGTATCCACCCTCTTCTTCCTTCTGCTTTTTCATATTCCCATTTTCCAAATCACCTGATGGCAATAATACCAAATAAGGAGTTTTTGTTTATAACAAATTGTCATAACAGACTGCTGTTATGTTTAAGATATAAACCAAAACACCTAAAAATATTTTGTCATTGGCTTTTTCTTAAAACTTTTTGTTGCATTGACATTAAAGTAATGAGGAAAAAAGAAAATTTCATCAGCATTTCTACAATTTGTCACCTGTTCTCATTTTTCCGTGGTTGTTTCCAGTCCTTGTCCACATAGTAAAAAAAAGATAAACTGTAATCAGAGCAGAGATACTATTCAGTGTTCTTCCCCCCCCCCCCCACTTAGTATTATATAATAATCATTTCCCACTACAAAGAGTTTGCCATGAATCATACAGACACTTGGGGAAGCCCAGATGTGTTTTTGCCTCCTTTGGGGGAGAACACCATTTGGGCCTTTAGATCTAGCTGTGTTCTTGGCCTTCAGACATTCCATTCACACTTAGCCTTAGGTTTTACTGAGGGAAGAAACAGTCCCTATCTTGTATGGGAATGCATGCTAACATTTTATCATTAAGTATGAAGATTGCTATAAATTCTTTCAGAAATTTTTGCACTAAGAAAGTTCTATTTCTAGTTTGCTAGTTTTTTTAAAAGTCATGAATGAGTATTGGATTTTATCAACTGTTTTATCTGCATCTGTTACATCTTTTGAAATGTTCAAGAATTCTTTTCCCTTTACTGTGATGAATATGGTGTTCTTGACAGATTCTTCTGATGCTGAATCCTAGCATTACTGGGATTTCAGTGGATTTTCATATATGCTCTAGAATTAATATTTAAAGGATTTTTGCATATTTGTTCATAAATGAGATTGGGCTATTATTTTGTTCTTATAGTGTCTCTGTTTGGTTTTTATATCAAGTATAGTCTAACCTTATAAAATTAGTTGTTATTTTTCTTGTATTTTTAATCTCTGAAACCATTTGATAGGGTTTGGCTGTTTTTGTAACATTTGAGTCTGGGGTCTTTTATGGGGGTAGGTTTTTCATGAATAGTTGGGATTTCTTCAATGGTAATTGATTTTTTGGATTTAATATTTCTTCTTGAATAAGTTCGATAATTTACATTTTTCTTGAAAATTATACATTTCATCTAGGTTTTTACACATATTGGCATACAGATGCTCATGTTTCCTAATTTTTAAATATCTCTACATACAATTACTTATATACCTGTATTTGTTTACATGAATGTTTGTTTTTTCTGTAGTTTCTTGATCAGCATTGCTAGACATGTATTTTATTATTATTTTTAATTAGCATATGACCATGTACAATGGTTTTCTTAATCCCCTAGTGTTTGTTTTTAATTAGCATATGACCATGTACAATGGTTTTCTTAATCCCCTAGTGTTTATTTTACAACTCATTACTTTTCACTTTTATCTTTATTTCGGTTCTTAACAATTACTTTGGATTTACTATTGCTCCTTTGCTAAGTAGCTCAGTTGAGTATTTAATGCATCTGTTTTCAGTCTTTCTTGATTTTTTTAAATGCATTTATGACCATACACATTTACTTCTAAATAACATGTTAGTTGTATCCTGTAAGTTTTAATACAGATATTTTAATATAGGCAGTATATTCATTCTTAAGTTCTAATTTTTTTTGGCAGTTTGCATTGTGATTTTCTCATTGCTTAGTAAATATTTCTTTGTATGTTTCAGTTTCCTAAACTACTTTTTTGCTGTTTTCTAATTTAATTACATTATGGTCAGAGAATGCAGGTGGGATATTGCTTCTTTGAAGGTTAAGACTTCCTCATAGACTCATTTGGCAACCTGGTAGTCTATGAACCCCTTCTCAGAATAATGTTTTCAAATGCTTAAATTAAAATATGTAAGATTAGCTCTACTGAGCTTTATAGCCTTTTTCAAAATGGAAATACTTGCTAAATTTGAGGTTAGTTGTGGGAGGCAGGGGAGCATGTAATTTTTTTTCCCATCTAAGTTCAGGCTCCAGGTTAAGAACTCATGCTTAAAAGTGAGTAGTACCCTGTCTTGTTTTATGCTGCTAAGAGGGTATTTCTTTCTGACTGAAACTACCATCCTTAATTTTACTTATGCCTATTATAATTACCAGGCAGTACAGTTTAAGGACAGACCCAGACAGTACTGATTCAGTGTACAATTCTGAGTGCCTAAAAATCGCAAGGCATTCTCTGGACAGTATGGGAGGTAGATAGTTTAAGATGTAGTCCATACTCTTTAGAGGATTAGTTTGGTAGTAAACAAAAGACAAATACTCAGATAGATACAAGCTATCAATCTACAAGGCAGAACTTTATAAGGGCCCTGAGAAATCTATGAAGTTTTATAAAGGGTAAGTTGTTTTGGTATTAATTAGCCAGAAGATATTCACAGTTCCCCCACTTTGGCAAAACTATAATACTGATTCACCTTCTTAAATTTCAGAAACATACTATTTGTGCTACATTTTCAAATAATTTTATTTGACATTTGTTTAATGGTTAATCCAGTTATTTCTAGTATATATTCTAAGTAAAATTTTTATTGAAATATTATATGCAAAAAAGTACCCAAAGCCTGAGTACAGCTTGATGAATTTTTACAAAGTGAACAGCCATGGAACCAGTACCAATGTCAAGAAACAAAATTTCAGTTTTGGCTGTTTTTGTATTTCATACAAAAGGAATCATATAATATAAACTCTTTTGGGTCTTTTTTCATATGATTCTAGGTTTGTAAGATTCATTGATGTTGTGTGTAGTTCATTCCTGTTCTTTGTATAGTTTTAACATGACTGTAGCACAATTTATTTGCCCATTTTACTCCTGATGGATGGTAAACATTTCCACTTTTGGGCTATTGAAAATAATTCTGTAATGAATATTTTAGTGCTCTCAGCTTTCGTAGATACTGTTAAAACATGGTTGTACCAATGTACACTCCAGTCAGTAGTGGTTCCACACCCTTACTTTGTCTTGTATGTTAGCCATTCTGATGGGTGTGTAGTGGTATTACATTTTGGTTCTAATTTTCATTTCCCTGATGACTAATACAGTTGAGCATCATTTCATATAGTTATTGGCCATTTGGACATCCTCTCTTGTGGTTCAAGTCTTGACGAATTTTCTAATGGGTTGTTTCCCTATTTTCTTATTGCCTAGGTGTTTGTTCTTTCTTCTGAATACCAGTCCTTTGTTGGCTGTATGTATTACAAAGGTCTTACATTCTGTGGCTTCTTCTTCTCCACTTCCTGGTTTATTTTATTGACAGTTTTGTTTCATCCCAAACAAAGAGATTCTAAAGCTTAAACTGATCAAACAGACAGAAAGCCAATTTGAATATATCAGGGTAAAAAGCTGCAGTTCTCACTTGCTCTCCTTAACTTGCCTTCACCATTTCTGATGAAGAGTCTTACTAGATGCACAAATAAAAAGCGCTTTTGTTCTATTTAATGTTCAGGTTCTGACCAATAAGAAGACAACTTTCTTTGGTGGCAGTTCTCTTTCTATGACTGATTATCTCATCTGGCCCTGGTTTGAATGGTTGGAGGCTCTGGAGTTAAACGAGTAAGACATTTGAATATTTTGTACATAATTTAGGATGATAATTGGAATAGTTTATATTAACCTTTCTCTCTTTTTTCTTTTTTTAACCTCATGAGAATTTTTAATCAGCAAATGAGAAGGTTATCATCATATACTTAAGTTGACCTTTTTTCTGAACAAAAATTAAGATATTTCATACAGCTGGTATGAATGGGAACAAAGGAGGGGAGTCTTGGCCTCTCCAGACCACACCTATATCCACCACTCTTCCCCATCCCTGGGGTGGACAGGTTGCTCTGTGACATGTAGTAAAATGTTTTAAAAGGAATTTACTCCTTCCTTCCCAGTTAAAAACCCACATGGATGTACATTTTCATAAGGATGTTATGCAGGATTGTATGACCAATGATACTTCCCCTTTACCAGCATGATTCCCACATAATTTCCAAACTCCTTGTTTTGAAGTTTGGCAGCTACCTTGGCTTATTCCCACTTATCAAAGCTTACAGCTATTCAGTGTTACTTTTAGTCACATTCTGGCTGTAGACTAATGAATATATAATATTCTTGATTGTGTTTCATGTTCTCACTCTAAAAAGTTATCAGTCTGTCAGACAGGTTCTCATGCTACCTGAGCAAGTCATCTCACTCCAGTCTTAGATTTCTCTTCCATAAAACAAAGACATGTACAATAATCTAAATCTAAAATTCTATGATTATGTGCATTTTAAAGAAGTATTTTTAAAGAAGTATTTTAAAAGGTTAGAGGAAGACAAAATGAAACTGTAGCATGAGAATGATGACACAGGAGACTGCAGTGCCTTCCTAGTCAACCTCACTCCCTTCTTCATTCTGTCCTCCTCCCACAGGTGTGTAGACCACACTCCAAAACTTAAGCTCTGGATGGCAGCCATGAAGGAAGATCCCACAGTATCGGCCCTCCTCACCAATGGGAAGGCCTTGCAAGGTTTCTTAGATCTCTACTTGCAGAACAGCCCCCAGGCCTGTGACTATGGGCTCTGATGGTGGCAGGAGTCATCAGTGAAGATTATGTCTGATTTTTCCTTCACTAATACAAGTAATAACATGCTTTAATTTTACCAAGTGCTCTAAGTCTCACTGGATTACCTCCTCTGACTTGACACATTATGGCTTAACTGTGGGATGTCCTCAAGGCCTTCCTGCAGATATGTTTGCAGAATTTCATCTCAGGGTGTTCAGGTGACTCAGAGGGATCTATCGCATCTGTGATGAAAACCTCTACATCATGATCTCTAGTGAGAACTGGACTGCAATGCAGATTTCTAACTGCCCCTAAGTCATTCCCACTTGGATACCCTGTTGTCATTTTCAATGAGATGCCCTTTCAAGTTTGTCTTCTCATTTGAGAAACTTCCAATTCCTCATTCCTTCCTTTCTATCAGCTTTCACTACCTTTCTTATTCCCACTATCACCATTGAGACCACATCTCCTCAAAGCCAGGTGATTGGGTTCTGGCCTTGGTCTCCGTGGTCTCCCAGTCTCCAATCTCTATGCCCTTCAAATCCTTCCTACCAAATTCCATCCTGGGCGCAAAGCAGACGTCCAATACATGTAGTTAAATACTGTGAAGACCAAATCTGGCAATTCAGTTAGGCTGGATGAGTAATTCAGAAATACTAATTCCATATTCCTTACACTTCCACAGCCCATTGGGCTTCTCACTAATTTTTATCATCACATCACATTACCTCCATGAGAAAAGGTGGAGAGGTTGGAGAGCATCACCTCATTGTACAGAAGATTCAACTAAGGTCTGGGGTTAAGTGAGGTCTTAAGATGTTGGCAGAACGATCTGCAGATACACCCAGCACACTGCTCTTCCCATAATGGGGGAATGTAGACCTGCCCCAGTCCAGTCTGGTTCCTGTGCTTATTTTAAATG